AAAAATTTCTTTATCAATTCTACTTTTCCTCCGTAGTCCTTGTAACAACAACAATAATAGTAGAGTTTCTATTTGAATAACGAATGATTCGAATTATATTACTATTACGAATAATTCGAATAAGAATTCGCATTACGAATAGAAACTCTACATTGATGACACTTCCCCCCTCGGCAAGTCACTTGTTAATAATAAATAACAATGAAAGCTTCTCACTTATAAACTTGTTAATTATTCAACGTCCAATGAAGAATTAATAAAACTCGTAATCGTCTGTTAACAATAATATTGTATCGCGAAATTAATATTTCTTGATTATGACTTTATTAATTTAGAGAATTTTTCAATACATTGGCGTCGCGAGATTAATTATCTGCTAAATTGTGACTATTTTTAAATAACTAATTTCAACTTTTGATAGTCAAACACAACTTTAAAGCCAGCTTGGGATTATGGGTAGGAAAACACAATATTTGTAATAAAATTAATTATTTCATTTAGGGAAGCAATATCAATGTTTTATACTATTTAGAAAACTTCTTAATTGAAGAAGAAAGTTGATGATAACAAAAAGGATGCTGATGAAGAAAGATCGAATATTGATTTGAATGGATGCAATTATGGTAAATAATACAGTTGTTGCGTTTGGCGATAGTAAATTTTCATCAACAACACGCGAGCATGCTCCAGGTCCTGTAAAAGCATTTCACCGAGAGCTTTCTATACACTGCAAAGTGGTGAACGTTGACGAGTTTTTGTGTGGTTTGATAAACATAAAAAATTTTGATCCGACTGACACATTGGAATCGAGATTTGTAACATAAGGAACATTTTTTGCACACCAACACTTATGAAAAGAGACCTGATATGATTATAAGTGGGACTTACTGACCTCTCTGCCATTTTAATTGTGGCAGGATGTGTCTGAGAAGCCCACGGGAGGATTTTGATCTTCCTGATTTAGTGTAACAAAGTTTTCATTTTAGATTTGACCAACATTAGAAATAATCTTCATAATTGACCTGTTACTATTTATTATTTATTATCATTATTATTATTATTATTATTAGCTTCTCAAAAAAAAACTTTTTTTATATATAATTAATTAAACATATGTCTATATGTAATTTTTAAAAACAAATATTCATGAAAACACAAATATGATTTTCGCAATGGAAAACGTCAAAACAAATGATCAATATGCTAGTTGGGACCTTAGTAAAAAGTTAGATTTACTTGGAAGGTGTAAAGAATGTCGAAAAATAAACAATGGCATCTTATGGTGTCAAGCATGTAATAGTAAACATTTTAACGAAGAAGCCAAGCGATGGAAAAGTGGCAATAAAAGATTGGATCAGTTAATTTTGAGAAGACAAGTTGATAGTGCCAGAGATCGATCAGAAATTATTGAATGGATTCCATTTGAAAGCTTTGTTAATGTGAAAATTCAAGCACGTGGATACTACTCAACTGTTTATACAGCACAGTGGAAACCCATACTGAAAAGAGATGTAGCAAATGATGGATGGAAAAGATATGATAATTTAAGTATAACTGTTTCATTAAAGGAATTACATGCCACTAGGTTAAGTGATGATTTTTTGGAGGAGGTAAGCGATTTTTTGAAGAGAAATAATTTTATAATTTTATATTATTGCATTCAAATAAACAAATAATTAATATATATTGATAATTAATTTTAAGATTGAGAAAGCAGAATCGATTTTGCAAAAAATTGAAGAAGTTCAGAATGTAAACTATATATGTGGATTCAGCAAGAATCCCGTAACAAAAAACTATGTCATAGTATATAATGAACATGAATATATTGAAAATACATTAAATGTCTGGTATTGTGATAAGGTGATATCACCAATCACTAAACTAAGACAATTGTACCAAATCACAAGAACATTAAAATCCCTCCACAGTAATGACTTAGTATATAAGAATTTACATGCAGGCAATATTTTATTAGATGTGTTTCACAACATTTACTTTACTGATTTTGGAATAACGCACCCGTTCTATAGAGACTCGTCAATAACAACAACTGCATCATCATCCACAACTGTATCACCCACGCACGTCTATGGAGTGTTGCCCTATTTAGCGCCAGAAATTTTACATGGTGAACCATTCACATTCGAATCTGATGTTTATGCATTTGGCATAATTATGTGGCAGATCCTACATCAAGAGAAGCCTTTAAGATATCGTGCGCACGATCAAAATTTAGCAAAGGATATTTGTCTTGGATTACGACCGAAAATTATTTCAAGTTTGCCTAGAACATTGATAAATTTGATTATAAGGTGCTGGGATGCTGATCCTAAGAAAAGACCCACTTCTACGGAATTGTTCGACGATCATTTTGAAGTAATATTTAAGAATTATGTTAAATTAGATAACGATCTGTGCAATTATTTACTCGATCACGAGGAGCTTGATGATGGATTAGAAATGTTCAATAAGCATCTATATAAAAGATTACCTTATCTTCTACAACTTAAAGCAGATCCTAAAGCATGCTATACTTGTAAAATGTACAGCTTTGATGATTTACCGGATCCTGTGAATTCTTCTAAAACAGGTAAAGTACATTTACTTACATTATTTATTTACTTTGAGAAAAAAAAAGTTATTTATAATATTATGATTATTAGAACATTTATTTAACGAAGAAGAAGGTAATGAATGATATATATCATTTAACCTGTAATTTAATTGTAACAATAATTATGATAACTAATATTAATTAAAAATAAAATCTAGACAGATCGGGAGTGTTTATAAAATATCAGAGACAAATAACATAAATTACAACAAAATAGACGACAAGCCAAATCCAAAGAAAAGGAATCACAAAAAAATACAAAAACGAAAGGAGAAGCGTGAAAATAAAAAAGTATACACAAGAAATATCAAATCAAGAAAGGGTCCTTATTTTCGTCAGATACCATCAACATATTAAACAAAAATTATATTAATCTGTTCATGCGTGGGGGAGGGTCATTTGAACCTATGACTGATTTGATTGAAGAGGAGAAACTTATATTTAGATTTGATAGACAGGAAAAACTGACGTTTTGGATGAGATAAGAAAAAGAAAGTTCAAAGTGGATCAAAAATATTATCATCCATGTGATTAATCTTTCTTATTCTAGTCTTTTTCTTTAAAGATTACATATTAATATTTGTCATTTATTTATTTATTAGATCGGACATAAATATCGATTGGGCCTGTCTTCTACTGATATTGAATTTCTTGGTGTGAGCGAGAAGGAAGTATAGATGAAGATGATGCAGATTATTTAAAGCGAAAAAGAAATTATTGGTGGGTCAGATCTTACAAAACTTAAAAGATATAGAAACTGGCAAACATGAGATCTCTAAAAAAACAACAGCTAGATAGATGTCCAGAAGTGTCACCATCACCATCACCATCATCATTATCAAATATTAAAAGTGCTGTTGTAAAAAAAACGAAAAAGGAAAAGGAAAAGGGAAAAGAAAAAAGTATTCAAGTAGTAAGTGCATATATTAATTTATGTATACTAAATTTTTATGTAAGCAATAATTGAAAATAGTTATAATAATAGCACTAATAATTAATGTTTGGTTTTATCAGATGAAGAAGAGCTAGATTATGTTAAAGCGATATTTGTGGGCGGATGATGATAATGATTTTCTTGTTTTTTGTATATATGTTTCCCTAATCTAACGACTTTATCCAATTTTGAAATGTTTGGTTGCACGGGAAATAATTCATTTGTAAAGAATATTTAGTTCAGTTCAGTTACGATACGAATCAGCACGAATATTCTAAACGTCCTGTTTCTCAATTTTAGTAAACTTAATTTTTGGGGAAGGATGAGATCAAAATCAAAGGGTAAAACTTTGTGATGAGTCGTTTTTTTTTCTTTGCTGCGCTGGCTTGAAATGATTTGCAAATTGATTTGAAATTTTGAAATATTTTCGTTTTCCAAAAAAATGATAAACGGTTATGGTTATTTTACGTCACAATACCGTGTGAATCCCAATTGTTATCTGTTTTGGCTCAAAACGTTAGGGTTGAGCGAAACAGATATTTGACTGAAAGGAAATCATGTTTCGCTTTAGATGTTTTTTACATGGTGTCGACTGCTGTCTACCGTTAGGTCTTCGTCTCGCTCTGACATTTCAGACCGTTCAAAATGACCAAAAACTGATGGTCTTGTCTTGGAACCTTTACCTCGGATCGTCAAAGGCTTGTTAGTGATGTTTTCTGGTCACGAGATCGGGGTTCAAAAACGTTTTATTTCATTGTTAATTTTAAAAAAAATGATCGATAAACAAAACAATACGTGCAAAATTTTTTTGATTGTTCGTGTTGAATTAAAATTTTTTTTTGGATTTTGACCATTTGAGAGAGATAGTGGGTGTTCTGGACGAAAGATTTTAACAATCGAAATTCGTAAATGGCTTTTGATTCACACGAGGGTTCTTCTTTGCGAAGGTTCTTTTTTTCTTTTAATTAAGAAAAAAAAAGCTTAGTTGATTTTTTTAACAATTGAAATCTATTCTTTTATGGGATAACAACCATTTCATTGGGTTAAATTTATTCCATAATTTTTTATTGTGTAATCTAAAAAAAATAAAATTAAACAGAAAAAGTTAACTGTTAAATACAAGACGTATGATGATATACGTAACTTCCAAAGCAAGTTTGTAAAATATACTGATGAAGGTTTATTGATTATTGAATAGCTTGTATCGAAATAAGTGTTAAAGGTCAAGATCTATGAATCTGTTTGTAAAATATATTTAATGGGCGTTTTATCAATTATTCAAATAATTATATAGGCGGGCTTGGTAGAAGTAAGTGTTAAAGTCAAGATCTATTTGCAAATCA